AAATTTTTGCTTTCTTTTGAGTGAGTATTATTAGAATAGATTGGGTACATCTCAAGGAGCTTGAATCTCAATTTTGGGAAGATTTGGTAGAGTTTTGAGGTGGGTTGAATTGAAAAGTTGAAGTAGAAGATAAACATGAAAAAAGTATATGTGTATCACAATGTGTATCATTTGTGTATCGCATATGTATCATAATTACATCAAATATATATCACATGTATACCAGTGTGTGAGATACATGTGTCGCAGAAGAATTTTTCGAACTCGATTTTAACTACGAATTTTGATACCAAATCAGTCCAAATCACTTTCAATCTTTCTAAAATTATGTATATTGACTCATCTATATGTTTTCAATAAATTTCAACCATACCCATTGAATAAGGTCCTTTTTTGCTTAGATTTTTGGAATATATATATAAATTTTATTTTTGTATCTCATCACCTTATTTGCTACTTGTAATGACCCGACCGGTCGTTTTGAGTATTTGCATTTCGCTCGGTTGTTTGAGGGCATAAGTAGCTCCGTATGATGTATTATGACTTATTTGAATCATCGATTTTAGTTTTCAGATTATTCGGAATCGATTTGAAAGAATGATTCTCAGCTTGAAGCTTTAAATTTGAAAAGTTTGACCAAGTTTGACTTTTTTGAATTCGACCTCGAATTGGATTTTTGATACTTCTGTTAGCTCCATTGGGTGATTTTTGACTTAGGAGCTCATCCGGATCGTGATTTGGAGGTCCGTAGTGGAATTTGGCTTGAAATGACGAAAGTTGGAATTTTGAAAAGTTTAACCGGGAGTGGACTTTTTGACATTGGGGTCGGATTTTGATTCCGGAAGTTGGAGCAGGTCCGTAATGTCAAATGTGACTTGTGTACAAAATTTGAGGTCAATCGGACGTGATTTGATAGGTTTCGGCATCGGTTGTGGAAGTTGAAGTTTCAAAGTTCAATAATTTTGAATTGAGGTGTGATTCATCGTTTCGATGATGTTATGTGTGTTTTGAGGCCTCGAGTAGGTCTGTGTTATGCTATGTGACTTGTTGGTATGTTTGGACCGGGTCCCGAGGGAACCGGTCGTGTTTCCGATTGATTTCGGATCATTTTCTTCAATGTCGCTATTGCTGGTTTTGGTGTGACCGCACCTGCGGTTGGTATGCATAGGTGCGGTGGTCGCAGAAGTGACGAAGTGGTCGCAGGAGCGAAAATAGTGCTGGGTGAGGAAGACCGTAGAAGCGGAGATTTGGGCGCATATGCGGATGCGTAGGTGCGAAGAGAAGGAGCGCAGGAGCGAGGTTTTTTGCAGGTGCTAATAGTGGCTCGCACCTGCGATGTCGTAGAAGCGGGTATGTTGTCCTTAGGTGCAGAAATTGCTGACCAGAAGCTATAAAATCGAGGTTTTGGTTATTTCTTCATATTTTTGACATGTGGGACTCGGATTGAGGCGATATTTGGAGCAATCTTCATCACAAGGATTGCAGTAAGTGTTCTACACTTAGTTTTAATATATTTCATGAATCTAACTTCATTTTTGGCAATTGGTTGATGAATTGAAAGAGGAAATTGGGATTTTGGCCTAAAGTTTCATAATATTAATTTTTGAGTTTTGAACACGGATTTGGAGTCAGATTTGAGTGAAACTAATATGGTTGAATTCGTAATTGAATGGGTTGTCGGATTTTGTGAGTTTTGTCGAGTTTCGAAGGGTGGGCCCGGGTGTGATTTTTTGCCGGATTTGGGATTTGATGTAGAATTCGATCTTTATCAATTGTAATTTCTTCCTTGGGTGTTATCTGATGTATTTGAGTTGCTTTTGGCTAGTTTTGAGCCGTTCGGAGGTCACTACGCGCGTGATCGCATTCTTGGAGCATCGCTTGGCTTGCTTAGTGTCGGAATTGGCTTGCTTAAGATAAGTAACTCTTCTAAACTTGGTGTTGAGGGTATGAAGCCTCAAATTATATTTTATGTGAATGGTGGTGAGGTGACGCACATGCTAGGTGACGGGCATGTAGGCGTGCACCCTGTGAGTTGTGACTCTGTTGTTTCCAGGGCACTGTTTAGTGGCTCACTTTGTTGATATTTGTGTTTTTCACCATGTGATAAAGTAATTGACCTGTACATCATGCTAGATATCATGCTTAGGCTTTATGCTTATATTGTTGGGACCCCTAGCGGTCATTTCTTGCTGTCATCTCATTGATTTCACTAATATTTCGTACTCAGTCACATTCATGCATTCATATCATATTCCAGTCTTAGTTGTTGCTTATTGATACATCATATCATTATTTCGAGTCAGTTTTCATGAATTGTGAGCCCGCGCTGGAGAGATTGATGGCTGTGTGAGGCCGAGAGCCTGATTATGAGTGACAGTTATGGGATCGGGCTGCACGCCGCATCATGTTTTATTGATTTACTCCATGGTTAGCTTGTTATAGCGCTTGAGCTGAAGGAGCCCCTCCGGAGTCTACACACCCCCAGTGAGCGAGGATGATATTATTGGGGGATGGATTTCCCTAGACATGGATTTGTCCGAACTATTTGATATCTGGAGATGGATTTCTCCACAGGGTTGGATTGCCCTTTTTCCTCGGTACTGGGTGACTTCTAGTCTGTGTTGTATATGTTCCGGGATGGATTTCCCCGGGCCACCTGGCCATATACAGTACCGAGTGGTTGAAAATTTATATATTATTGAGGGATAGGTTTCCCATACATGGATTTCTCCGAAGTACTTTCTACCTGGAGATAGATTTCTCCACAGGGTTAGATTGCCCCTTTTCCTCGGTACTGTGTGACTTATAGTCAGTGTTGTATATGTTCCGAGATGGATTTTCCTGGGCCGTATGGGCCATATACAGTACCGAGTGGTTGAGTATGATGAGTGGAAAGTGTGATACAGTGAGGTTGAGTAATCTGAAAGTGTCAGTACATGATTCATCTATTAGATACATGGCATTGGCAAGCATATATGACATACATGTATAGGGACGCATTTTCCTCATGCTGTACGGTACCACATCATTCGTGACTTTTTATACACATTGATATGTGGGCATAGAGTGGTATTTCACACTTGATATTTGGAAGGAAATGAAATATATTTTTTTAATTTATTATGGAAAGGATTTTTCAGGAAAACTACAGCATTCAAACTATCTCATAATTTTTCGATGATTTCGATAAAGGATTTGGGTTTTCACTGATATTCTTGAAAAGCGGAACTGTTTTCGGAAAATTATGCAAAAACTGAACATTTTTATCTCTGAGATTATTTCCTTGTTTATATGCTCTACGTTGTATGAACTGTTGTTGGTTATTTGTGTTGGACCCGATCTATGTTCCAGCTCGTCACTGCTTTCAACCTGAGGTTAGGTTTGTTACTTTTTGAATACATGGGGTCGGTTGTACTCATACTGCACTTCGTGCACATTGCGTGCAGATCCCGAATGCCGATGTTGCTACGCTCGATGGTTGATGGATTTGAAGGCATACCTGCGTCCCTGTTGTAGCTGCCTCTTGTTCATGGTAGCCTTAGAATTATAAAACTCTGTTTATGTACTTTTCAAATAGAAGATGTATTTTCTTCATATCAGCTTTGTAAATTCTATTCTTAGAAGCTCATAATTTGTACTGCCAGTCCTTGGGAAATGTAATAGATCCAGATAATTTATTTTGTTTAATTGACCTATTAGCAACATTGAAATTAGATAGTTATTAGTTGGCTTACCTAGCGGGTTGGGGTTAGGAGCTATCACGACTAGTTGATTTTGGGTTGTGACACTACCTCATCCATAAAATTTCCATTCTTGTCTTCCATTTAACGTTGTTAATCACACTTAAAAATATGGAAGGAGATCTTTGAGTGTAATCATCGGAGAGAAGGAACCTTTAGTTATTTGGGTTTTTAATTTTTATATATGTTTAGCTAATTTTGATAAGTTTACGATTAATGACTAGAGGTTGGTAAGCATGGACTTAATTGGGGTATTTATGTAAGATTCCCCAATAAGAATGTTCCGGGCCATTGTTTAACTTTTGTCCTTGTTTAGAAATTTGCGCAAAAATAGCTCGGTGCATACCATTCACTCCGTTAAGATATGAATTCGGATATATAATCTTTAAATATATTGACATAAAAATTATGTATTTAGAAACTCGTATAAGGTACTTTCAGAAAAAATTATTACTAACAAATTAAAATAATTAAATAGTATTTAAAAAATATTAAGTCTCCAATTATAAATTATGTCACCTTAAACGGAAAGAAGGGGAGTAATGTTTTTTTGATAAAGAAGTTTTCATGTAACCTAGATATCAGCAAGTTGGAAATGATATTTTTTTTACCAAGATTTAGAGAATTAAAAAGATTGGATTCTTGTGTAATTTTCATTCTCCTCAGCAACAATTAGTGACACTGAATCAAGGTTGTCACGTTAAAATACCGTGCCTAAATAAGTTACTCCTTCCTTCGGGAAATTCCGATAAAATTGGAATGATACACACAAGATTAACATCGCTTTTGTGCAAAAATAAAACGCACAAACCTAGAAATGGTTCAAATTTTAAAAAAAAAAACATAAAAAATATAAATGCTCCTATCCAGATTAGTAGATTATTACACCAGTAATCTCCTCTTTACTAATGGATGATATAAGTGAAAGAAGGCTCCAACCAAAAAAAAAAAAAAAAAAAAATACGACAACGAGAGAAGGTTAATTTTTCTTTCTACTTTTCAGAAAATATTTAAAAAGGCAAATTTGAAGGGCACAATAAAAAGAATATTCTGTCATATTCCATTACTATAATAATGAAAGTCCATCCACTGGTCTTCTAAAGCATGTAAAAGTATACTTTGACTTATCTACATGAACCAAATAAAAGTAAGTAAGCGCTAATAGTTTCTTTTCATGCATATATATATGTAGCACATGAACCATTAGAGTCTCAAACAAAGCAATACTGAACAAAAAGAACGATTTCAAAGGATCAAAATATGATTAATTTCAAGACCAAATTTCTTTTTTTCTCATTCATGTTTCTACTAAACCTCGCTCTTGTGAGAAGTCGTACTTTTGTTACTCCAAGATTTCAAGTTCACATTATCGATGCCCTCCCTCCTAATTCTAAATTGATTCTTCATTGTCAATCTAAAGACGACGATCTAGGATACAAAGTTCTCTATCCAAACGAGGAGTTCAGTTTTAGCTTTAATGAGAAACTTTTCGGAGGTACTCTTTACTTTTGTCATTTCTGGTGGAATGGTAAAAATATACCATTTGATGTATTCAATAGCAAAATAGCTGGACAATGTGGAGTAATTGATCCTGACACTCTCGAATGCTACTGGAAGGTGCAAGCAGATGGCTTCTACTTTGGTGCCCGAAGAAATCCCCCACCTAATTATGAGAAGAAACATGATTGGAATAGCTAGTTCGATTTAAAAAGTTTTGAGATAGAGAGATATATGACCTTGTATTTTATCTTTCCTATCAATTTATTTTTTAAAAAAAGGCACGGAAAGAATGCAAGGGATTGTGATAAAATATAATTTCTATATTTCGGTTTTATTACATTATCATTCTCACTTCTGGCTCTGCAAATAACAAGAAATAAAATTAGAAAAAATATCGCAAGTGAAAAATTTAACTCAAGCCCGCGAGAGCAGGTCATATCAAGCCTGCAATATTTTTCAAGATTGATTTATATCAATCTTGTGTTGTATTTTGGAGGTAAGGTTTGCTCCCCCTCGTATAACCACCTTTATGAAATACAACTCCTAGGCAATGCAAAATTTATAACCAAAAAAAGTCTTACTTTTTATAGAAAAGTTACTAATAAATTTTTTGTCACTATAAAATCATCAGTTAACAATTTCTTCAAAATACCTTACACTATTAAGAGTATTGAGAAATCTTATACATATTTTTTTTTCTTTGTACTTTCTGTGTGGTGCTTTATTCACACCCGACATAATTGACACTCAAATTTGCAATTTTTCCTTGGGGACATTAATTGATGGAAAACCTATTTTTATTTCAAAGTGAACCTCGGCTCATCGAATGTGGCATCACTGAGAAATGGGTATTATTTATTTATTTATTTGTTCATTCATTAGGTTATGCTGGTAATTAGCCCGTGATTTCTTGGTAGAAAAAAATAATAATCCTTACTTCCTCCGTCTCAAACTATTTGTCGTAATTTTAATAATACTTGTCTCAAATTATTTGTCATTCTAAAAGTTTAAGACAATTTTTTTACCCTTAGTAATAATTGTTCTTGAAGATGGAGATATTACATAAATAAAGTAATACTCAATGAAGAGAGATAATATCTTAGGACATAAATAAGGGTAAGATAGTCCAAAACCATTCTAATTAATATTTTTTAAGAGATGTATGAAAGAGAAACACGATAAATAATTTGAGACAAAGAAAGTAACTCTTTTCTCTAGCTTCGAAAGGTGCATATTACTCTTGTTATTATTGTTGTTGATTTGTTGTTGTTGTTGTTGTTGTGTTATTATAATCGCTACAGATTCTCTTATTCATGGAATAAGGTTGCGTTAACACCCAATCAGCTAGAATCATCTTAATAGCAGAAATAACAACAACAACAACAACAACAACAACAACAACAATTACAACAATAATAAAAATCCTCAGTGAAATCTCACAAGTGGGGTCTGGAAGGGTAGTGTATACGCATACCTTACCCCTACCTTATTAAGGTACAGAGACTTTTTCGGTAGACCCTCAACTCAAGAACAGAAAAGGGAGCGATAAAAAATAATATCATCAACAAAGTAATATGACAATGGAAGCAAGTGACACATTATGTAGTATCAAATATCTAGGAATACGAAAATTCAATAATAATACCCATATTGTCGGTAAGAATGACACCTCGTTTAATAATAAGGAACTGAAAATAGTAAGATATAAGACTAGTACTAATACTGCGAGTGAGACTAGGAGAAATTCTCGACTACCTGTCAACCCACAACCCTAATTTTCGATCTTGACACCTTCCTATCGAGGGCCATGTGCTCGGTAAGCTGAAGTAGTGTCATGTCTTGCCTAATCACCTCTCATTAGTACTTCTTAGACCTCCCTCTAGCTCTCCTCTGGCCCGCCATGGTCAACCTCTCACACCTCCTAACCAGTGCATTGGTGGCTCTTCTCGTACATGCTCAAACCATCTCAGCCTTGATTCTCGCAACTTGCCTTCCATAAGAGCCACACTCACCTTATCCCTAACAACTTCATTCCTAATCTTATCTTTTCTGGCAACATTCTCATTTTCTATAATGACCCGACTGGCCGTTTTGAGAATTACCATTCCGTTTGGTGGTTTAAGGTCTCGAGCAGTTTCATATTATGTGATATGACGTGCGCGCATGGTTGAGTTTGAATTTCGGATGATTCAGGATTGATTTGGAAAAATGATTCTTGATTTAGAAGCTTAAGCGGTAAGAGTTGACCGGAGTTTGACTTTTATGTAGACGACTCCGAAATAGCATTTTGATGGTTCCAATAGCTCCGTATAGTGATTTTGGTCTTATGAGCGTGTCCGGATATTAATTTGGAGGTCTGTAGGTCGTTTTGGCATGAATTGGCGAACGTTGGAAATTGGAAGATTTTGGAAAGTTTGACCGGGAGTGAACTTTATTGATGTCGGGGTCAGATCCCGATTTAGAAAATTGGAATAGGTTCGTACTGTCATTTATGACTTGTGTGCAAATTTGATGTCAATCAGAGTTGGTTTGGTGTGAATCGACATTAGTTTTGGAATTCGGAAGTTCATAAGTTTCTTAGAATTGAATCGATGCACAATTCATGATTTTAGTATTGTTAGAGGCAATTCAAGGATGCGATCAAGTTCTTATCATATTTTGCGACTTGTTCGTATACTTGTTTGGGGTCTTATGGGGCTCGGGTGAGTTTCGGAAGGGTTTGGATTGTGCCGCGCTTTTATTTGATGTTTCAGCATCGATTTTTTGGCATAAAGGTTAAAAAATTGTTCAAACGACCTTTAATTTGTGATTCGATTGAACTATCAGAGCCGTATCGTAATTACAGAACCATAGCAACAAGAATCGTCGCTTTCAAGATCGATGAGAGAGTTATGCCCATTTTCGTATCGGAAAAGATTGATGTTTTTCTGGGGTTTAAGGGAACAAAGACAAATTGTAGGTGTGAAATGCGATCTATAAGTCTCAGGTGTCAAATATAATTTACAAATCACAGGTGTCAAATGCGACTTGCCTGGAGAGGTTTCTAAAAACGGGAGTTTCACCATTTTTATCATATTTTGAGTTGTAGACTTCGGATTTAGGTAATTTTTGAGGGGTTCTTCACGTGGTTGTTTGGGGTAAGTGATCTTTACCCGAATTTTATTTTATTTTATGATTTTATCTTTATTTGATCATTAAATTAGTGAATTGAATGGAAGAACTGGGAAATTTTGTAAAATCTTTCAAAAATATAAAATGAGGATTTGTAGGACGATTCGATATCGGAATTTTGTAATTTTGGTATGGTTGGACTTGTATCGGAATGAGTGCTCGGATTTTATAAATTTTATCGGGTTTTGAGGTGCGGACCCGTGGTTGACTTTTTAATTTTAATTAAAGACCAAAGCATTATTATCCGAAATTGTTACCTATAAGTTTTATATATGATTTGAATTTATTTTGGCTAGATTTGAACTGTCCAGAGTTTGTTTCACTCGAGAAGGTCATTTTAGAGTATCGGTCTAGCTTATTTGAGGTAAGTATCTTGCCTAACTTTGTTTGGAGGAACTACTCCTTAGGATTTAAGTCATTTGTGCTAATTGTGTCATGTGAAGGCCATGTACGTGAGGTGACGAGTACGTACTTGGGCTTATTTGTGGAAATTTGACCGTTTAGGGCTCTTAGGCTTTATGTTCATTAGATGTGAAGCTGTTTTAGCATGGTATATCCTCCATTTACTAAATTCACCTTTATATGTCTTATTTGGAATTGATTGATTCATGTTCTACCCTTTTTGCCAATTAAACTCTTATGTGCCTTAATTGAAGTTGTTGCTTCTTTATTGCCTTGTTGTCTTTCCCGTAGTTGCTTAACCTTATTTGAAGTTATTATTATTTCTTCCGTAATTACTTAACCTTAATTGAAGTTATTGTGATTTCTTCCGTAATTGCTTAGTCTTAATTGAAGTTTTGTTATACCTTTCATTGTTTACATTGTCACGATCCAAAATCAACCGTTGTAATGGCGCCTATTGTGGAACTAGGCCAACCTCTACTTACCAACTTATCACAATAAGAATAACTTTAAAAATAAAGACGGAAGTAGTTAACATTAAAGAAACCTATTTGAAAACAGAATAAATCCCAAAATACGATATAATCCAACCCAAAACCGGGGTATCACTAAGCACATAAGCGTCTAAATCAGATTACAGTCCAATACAGTGTCTAGAGAAGTAAACTGAAAATACAATTAATGATGAAGAAGGGGAGTCAAGGCCTGCAAACGTCGTGCAGCTGCCTTGATAGTCTTTGAACTCTGAAGCCTCAATGAGCAACCGCCGCCGTGACAAGAAACGCCTGGATCTGCACACGAGGTGCAGGGAGTAACGTGAGCACATCCAACTCAGTAAGTAACAAGCCCAAACTTTAGACTGAAAGGTAATGACGAACTCAACCAGTACAGATAAGATAGAAATAACTGTGCAGAAACGTAGGCATGCTTTCAAATTAAATAGGCAGTTCAAAACAGTGAAGTAGAGCAGATACGAACAATGTAAATACTATAATCTCTGCTATCTCCACATGCCAATTCACATGCGATATGTGATGCACCATGCTATCAGCATCATGTGCTCACACTCTGAAATGCTCAACCACTCGGCACTGTATATGGCCCATACGGCCCACGGAAGGTCCATCCCGGAATATATACATCACTGACCATCAGTCACCCAGTACCGAGGAAGGCTAATTCAGCTCTATGGAGAAGATCCATCTCCAAGTATCAAGTACTTCAAACACGATCCATGTCTAGGGAAGATCCTTCCCTCAATAATATCAAACGCGCTCACTAGGGTGTTTACAGACTCCGGAGGGGCTCCTACAGGCCAAGCGCTATCACAAATTACTATAACTGCTATAGCATGCAACCCGATCCCATAACTGTCACTCATAATCAGGCTCTCGGCCACACTCTGTCATTAATTTCTCCAGTCTCACTCACGGGCTCACAATATCATGAAAACTAGCCCGAAACAATGATATGATGTATCAATAAATAACAACTGAGACTGAGATATGATATGAAATGCATGAACATTACTGAGTATATAATATCAAGGAAACTAGTGAGATGACAGCAAGAAACGACCACTAGGGGTCCCAACAGTACCGTCATAAAGCCTAAACATGATATCTAGCATGATTGGCAGCTCAATTACTTTATCACATGATGAAAATACGGATATCAACAAGATAGAGTCACTATACAGTGCCATGGAATCAACCAGGTCATAATTCTCACGGTGCACGCTCGCACGCCCGTCACTTGGCATGTGCGTCACCTCAATACCAATCACATAGTACATAATTCGGGGTTTCGAACCCTCAGAACCAAGTTTGAAAGCGTTACTTAACTCAAACCGAGCAAATCTCTACTTCGAAATGTCTTTGCCTCTCAAATTGGTTTCCAAACGTCCCGAATCTAGCCACAAGTAGTATAACACAATCAATATAGGCTAAAGGGATCAATTCCACAAGAAAAGTACTAATCATAGCCAAAAATCCGAAATCGGCTCAAACCCGGCCCCCGAACCCACATCTCGAAATCTAACAAAAGTCAGAAAACCCGAAATTGCATTCACTCACGAGTATAACTATACAAAATTTATCATAATCCGACATCAAATGGCCATTCAAATCCCCAAAACTCACTTTCCAAATCCCCAGCATCAAACCCCCAAATCTCACCTCAACACCACACAATCTAGGTTGGAAAAACAATGGGGAAACAAGATTTATGATCAGAAACGAGTACAAGATGCTTACCTCAATAATTCCCTCGAAAATCCTCTCCAAAATCGCCTATCCAAAATGTTGAAATAAGACTAAAATCGAGAATCCTTGTGTTTTAAACATTCTGCCCAGGCTTTTCGCACCTGCGACCATCTATCCGCTTGTGCGGTAAAATTTCTGCTTCTGCAGAAGTCACTTATCCAGTTGTCTCTGCTTCTGCGATCACTGGACCGCATCTACGCACAACGCAGGTGCGGGAAGTCCATCGCACCTGCGGACCAAACTCGCTTCTACGCCTCACTGCCCGCTTCTGCGACCATAGTAAGTACGGGAAAGTCTTCGCACCTGCGAGCTCTGCCCAACTCTTCCTTTGTCACTTCTGTGATTCATGCCACACTTTTGCGGGCTCGCACCTGCGGTGCCCACTCCACAGGTGCGATTACACCAGTAGCAACAACAATTTAGCTGCTTCACCAACTCAAAAATCAAGTCTGTTAACCACCCAAAATAACCCCGAGGCCCCCGGGGCCTCAACCAAAGTCCTAAATCCCGATACGAACTTAGCGAATCCTCAAATCACCTGAAACAACATCAAAAACACATTACACACGAATTCAAGCCTAATGAACTTCGAAATTTCCAAATTCTACAACGACGTCAAAGCCTATCAAATCATGTCCGATTGACCTTAAATTTTGCATACAAGTCATAAGCGACACCACAAACCTACTCCAACTTACGAAAATCTAGTCCGACCCCGATATCAAAAATTCCACTCCCGGTCAAACTTTCTAAAATTCCAACTTTCGGCATTTCAAGTCTAATCCTACGGCGGACCTCCAAATCACAATCTGGACGCACTCCTAAGTCCAATATTACCTAAAGGAGCTAACAGAACCATCAAAATTCAAATTCGAGGTCGTTTGTATATAAGTCAACATCCGGTCAACTTTTCCAACTTAAGCTTTAAAACAAGTGACTAAGTGTCTCAATTCATTCTGAAATCACTCCGGACCTGAACCAACTAACCCGGTAAGTCATAATACAGCTCTAGAACAAAAAAGAAGCAGAAATTTGGGGAACGAGGCTACAACTCTCGAAATGACCAGCCGGGTCGTTACATCCTCCGCCTCTTATACAAACATTCGTCGTCCAACGGGTCTAGAAACATACCTGGAGCCATAAATAGGTGTGGATATCTACTCCACATCTCCCGCTCAGTCTCCCAAGTAGCCTCATCCACGGGTTGACCTCTCCATTTCACTTTCACAGAAGCTATATCCTTTGACCTCAACTTTTGAACCTACTGCTCCAAAATGGCCACCGGCTCCACATCATAAGTCAAATCATCATCCAATTGAACCGTGCTAAAATCCAAAACATGAGACGGATCGCCGATATACTTCCGGAGCATAGAAACACGAAATACTGGATGCACACTCAACAAGCTAGGTAGCAAGGCAAACTTGTAAGCCACCTCCCCATTCCTCTGAAGTACCTCAAAAGGCCCAATGAACCGAGGGCTCAACTTGCCCTCCTTCCTGAACCTCATAACACCCTTCATGGGTGAAACCTTCAGCAAAACCTTCTCCCCAACCATGTAAGACACATCACGAACCTTCCTGTCGGCATAACTCTTTTGACTTGATTGCGCTGTACGAAGCCGCTCCAAAATCAATTTAACCTTGTCCAAAGCATCCTCAACCAAGTCAGTACCCAATAGTCTAGCCTCGCCCGGCTTAGACCAACCCACCAGAGATCTACACCGCTTCCCATATAAAGCCTCATACAGAGACATCTGAATAATCAACTAATAACTGTTATTGTAAGCAAACTCCGTGACCAGCAGAAACCGGTCCCATAAACCCCCAAAATCAATGACACAGGCGCGTAGCATGTCCTCCATTATGTGAATAGTGCGCTCAGACTGCCCGTCCGTCTGAGGGTGAGATACTATGCTCAACTTAACCTGAGTGCCCAACTCTCGCTGCATGGCTCTCCAAAACTATGATGTAAACCGCGTGCCTCTATCTGAAATGATGGAAACAAGCACACCGTGCAGGCAAACAATCTCTCTTATGTAAATCTTAGCCAACCGATCCGAAGAATAGGTAGTACTCATAGGAATGAAGTGCGTAGACTTGGTCAACCGATCCACAATCACCCAAATAGCATCAAACTTCCTCGAAGTCCACGGGAGTAGAACTATGAAATCCATGGTGATCCGCTCCCACGCCCACTCTGGAATCTCTATCTTCTGAAGCAATCCACCGGTCTCAGATGCTCATATTTTACTTCTTGACAGTTGAGGCACCGGGCTACAAACCCAACTATATCCTTCTTCATTCTCCTCCAACAATAGTGTTGCCTCAGGTCCTAGTACATCTTTGCGACACCTGGATGGATGGAATACCGCAAGTTGTGGGCTTCCTCAAGAATCAACTCCCGTAGCCCATCTACATTGGGCACACATATCCGGTCTTTCATCCTCAACACCCCATCATCTCCAATAGTCACATCTATGGTATCATCGTGCTGAACCTTGTCCTTGAGGACAAGCAAATGAGGATCATCATACTGGTGCTCTCTGATGCGATCAAATAAGGGAGACCGAGAAACCACACAAGCTTGAACCTGACTGGGCTCCAAAACATCCAATCTCACAAACTGGTTGGCCAAGGCATGAACATCAACTGCAAGAGGTCTTTCCCCAATAGGAATGAATGCAAGGCTGCCAATACTCACTGCCTTCCTACTTAAGGCATCGACCACCACATTGGCCTTTCCCGTATGATACAGAATAGTAATATCATAGTCCTTCAGCAGCTCCAACCATCTCCGCTGCCTCAAATTGAGATCCTTCTGTTTGAACAAGTGCTAGAGGGTACGATGATCAGTAAATACCTCACAAGACACACCATAGAGATAGTTCCTCCAAATCTTTAACGCATGAACAATGGCAGCCAACTCCAAATCATGAACAGGGTAGTTCTTCTCGTGGGGCTTCAACTGGCGCGAAGCATAAGTAATAAATCTACCCTCTTGCATCAAAACACATCCAATACCAATCCGAGAAGCATCATAATATATTGTATAAGAACCAAAAGCTGATGGTAGAATTATAACTGGAGTTGTGGTCAAAGGCAGACTTGAGCTTCTGAAAGCTCGTCTTACACTCATTCGACCATCTAAAAGGAGCTCTCTTTTGGGTCAGTTTGGTCAAGGGCAATGAAATAGATGAGAAACCCTGCACGAACCGACAGTAATAGCCAGCCAAACCAAGAAAGCTCCGAATATCTGTAGCTGAGGACGGTTTGGGCCAACTCTGAAGCGCCTCTATATTCTTTGTGTTCACCTGAATACCCTCAGTGGACATCACGTGCCCCAAAAATGCCACTGAACTGAGCCAAAACTCACACATGGAGAACTTAGCATAAATCTTCTCCTCCCTTAACCACTGCAACATAGTCCGCAAATACTGGGCATGCTCTTCCTGGTTACGAGAGTACACTAGGATATCATCAATGAATACAACAACAAACGAGTCGAGATAAGACTGAAATACGCTATTCATCATATGCATGAATGATGATGGGGCATTGTTCAACCAAAATAGACATCATAAAGAACTCATAATGACCATAACGGGTCCTGAAAGCTGTCTTCAGAATATCCGAGTCCCGAATCTTCAAGTGGTGATACCCGGACTTCAAATCAATCTTGGAGAACACCCTCGCTCCCTGAAGTTGGCCAAATAGATCGTCAATATGCGGAAAATGATACTTGTTCTTGATGGTGACTTTGTTCAACTGCCTATAATCAATGCATATCCTCATAGAGTCATCCTTTTTCTTCACAAATAGAACCAGCGCACCCAAGGTGACACACTAGTCCTAATAAACCCCTTCTCAAGGAGTTCCTGAAGCT